TTTTGTTTTTTTGAATGTCCAGAGGACCAGATTTAACCTTTTTAGATTTTTCTACCTGGATTATTGAGCATGCATCAGGAGATTCAAGAACAGTTTTTTCCCGAAAGCCATCACCACACTGAACTCACACATGCACTGATTTAATCATCTAACCTCACAAACACCTGGACTTCTATTGTGCAATACTACTGACATTTCATACTCTCAGTCACCTTAACTACCTCACTAATAACCATGATGTGCAATACAATTGTGTAATACTTGTATTTTTTACTTTCATTATTATATCTATATTGCGTTACATTTTTTATATTTTTAGTGTGTGTTTAGTGTGTGTTTTCTTAAGGCGTGTTTTTGCACTGGAAAAAGGAGTGGCTCTTAATTTCATTGTACTGTGTATAATGACAATAAAGGCACTCTGATTCTGATTACCTATGTAGATTGTAAAGAGAGTGGGTCCTAAGACTGAGCCTTGTGGTACACCATTGTTAACAGTTAGATAACTGGAAGAAGCACCGTTACGTTGAACACATTGCCTCCGACCTGAGAGATAATTAGAGAACCAACCCTCAGTGTGATCTGAGAAACCAATTTCTGAGCTTATGACACAAGACGTCATGGTCCACAGTGTCAGAAGCTTTAGACAGGTCTAAGAAAAGTGCAGCATCCAAAGCTCCATCATTAAAAACCAAACATAAACAAGTTCATGCATTTAGAAACTCACGTTTTCTGTTAATTTTTTTTTCCTTCAACGTGAGGTTCATCGTCTAAATAAGAAATATAAATCCAAGTTCTTTTCTTAATCCTCCTGAAACAATTAGCCGCCAGTCGACAGCCAGCAGCTGCACATCTTAAAGATAGTTTTAATGAGCGTCTGCTTTATGTCCAGTGGATTTAGGCTTTACTCATCATCATCATCACGGCTGGCCCTTGAGATCAGAGGATTAGACACACGACGCCCCCACAGAGGAGCACGGAAATGGTTGCGGTAATCTGCGGTAATCTGCTTGGATAAAAGCACAACGACTTGATTTAATCCACCTAATGATCGTCCAAAGATGTCCGCTCCGAAACAAAATGCTTCTCACGGTAAACGTGGTGCTCTGGATGGAGCGCCACTTGTTGTCATCTATAATCTCTGACATGTAGGAGGGGCGATGAACTTCACATCTCGCAGGCTGTAAAACAAGTTTTTAATTTATCCGTGGAGCCACACGGAACAATGGCCGCCTCCTGGAGCCACAGTGACCCCTGCGTGTGCTTCGGTTCCAGCTCTGCGTTGGGCTTGGACCCCGTCTGGCAGGAAGAGACAATGGGCTTGAAGGGAAGTGTGTTAGGGAGGGCAGGGGTCAACAGGGACGAGCAGCTGCTGGCAGGGGGACCTCTGAAGAGGACGGGGACAAGGACGTCAGCTTCCTCCTAGAGTGAAACAGGAAGAGACAGATTACAGTGACTGCTGGGTTCTGGGGTTAAAGTCCCACTGAAGCAGAAATATGTGAGAACATATGAAGGAGAAAGTTTGGTGGCCTCAAGTTCAACACCGGACCATCATCGTGTTCTTCAGAAACAAAAATAACTTCACTGGGACAGGAAGCTCAAACTGGAGGCGTCCGAAGGTGCGAATCTGGTAAATAGTCTGTTACCAGAGTATTTAATAAATCTCCGATTGGATTTTAATGAAGCTTCCAGGAAATTGTCATTGGATGTTCATCTACGACTGACTAAGTTCTGGAGTTGACCTAATTCAAGATGGCCGCCACAGCAAAGTCAAAACTTTGTGTAACTGAGTCAGTTTTTTGAGACTTTGAGCTAAAGTTCGGTGTGGTAGTAGCTGATATTCCTTTCCATGATTTACTCTGAGCACTAAAAAAAAATCTAGTGAGTTTTCACAATTTTGCATGAGATCCTGCACAACGTTCACCAGGTTGGACCAAAACAACTGTCACTCTTTTCAGCATGGGATGATTTGAGTTTAAGGCATGAAATGTGGCGGGCGACATGCATTCACCCAAGGAATGTTAAACTTAAATGATATGGGAGGACCATGGTCTCCTCCTGTCCTCAGCAGACCTGCTGCCCCACAAACACCAGGACCTGGACCTCAGGAAGGTTCGGAGTCGTTCAGTCCTCAACATAAGACTTAACTCCACTTTGGTGCTTCAATAAATACATTTTCACCGAAACATGATGTCTTTGTTTTGAAACTGTCTTTATTTGTAATCCAGGTGTTTAAAAGCGGTACAACGTCTCAAAATGATTTCTCTTCCCATTAAAGCGATCTTTTTATTTTCTCTGTTTATAACAGGGTCCAGGTGAGCCAAGGTCCAGATCCAGACCCAGATCTGTTCTTAAGTTTCAGTAGAGCTTTATAGTTTTTATTTTGCCAACATTTTCTTGGGAACTCATTTTTCGCTGCACAGCTGTTCCGAGTGTTTACGGTACGTCCCAGGTCTGGACTGTGATGGCGAGTGAAGAAAAGGTTTTGAAGCTCCGCTCACGCTCTGTCAGGTCTGCTGGGTGTGGTCCCCATCACCAGCTGGGCCTCCTGCAGTCTGACCTTTGACCTCACCCACACGCACCATCACGCCCCTCGATCTGCCGCCTCTCTTTGTTGAAACCCCGTGACGGAATTGAATGAAACTTCTAGAAAGTCATGATTGAGCATTAAAGCAAGATGCAGCCAACTGACCTAAACTGCTGAGTCATTCCCAGCACAGACTGATGTGCATTACTGTGCAAGTTAGTGTGATGATGTCATAAAGGAATGCATGTCAGTGAATTGAGAAGTTTAATTTTAGTCATCAGGGTGGAACAAAATATCATGCAAAGTAATAATCAGCTTTTAAACTTTTATTTTGCAATAAGATCCCAAACAATCCGTGCTCATTTCCCTTTAGAGCACGCACAGGAAGCACGTGGAGTCGAACGTACAACCTGAGATGCTGAGGAGGAATCTGCGGTGACATCAGAGAATAATCAATAACGTGTCACGCTGCAGACGAGCGCAAAGGAAAAGCGAAGATGTGCACAAATAAAAAGACAACGGAAACTAAATCTGAGGGGGGGCTGGTGCAGGTCTGGGGGGGGGGGGGGGGGGGGGGCACAAACCTTCACTTCATCTCATAAAAACTGCTGCTGCAGCTTCTCCTACACACGACGGGGTCAGAGTTCACAGTGTCACAGTCTTCGATTGAACCAAACAAAAAACGAGTCTGATGGAAAATGAATCACAATAATTATTTGAAAGTATTTATAAAGTTGTATAAGTTATTGATCTTTTAACATTTCAACACTTCATTTGGCTTCTGGATTCAGTCTGCTTCATTCTTACTCCTGAGGCTTTTATTCTGACGGTCGTGTTTTATTTCTGGAGATGAGGCTTTTATTTTTAAAGCTGAAAATTAGTCAGAAGAGCCCAGTTTCTTTTATTTTGTTAGTTTAGTCCGTTACCGTTAGACAAAACAAGGGCAACTTACGGCCCAAGGGCCAAAAGTGGCCCTGAGACAATCTCCATCAGCCCCCCCCAATATCTTTAGTTAAAAAACACACAGCTTTTTAAATAAAGATTGGCTTAAAAAAAAAAAAAAAGCAGCATTTTATCTACAAGACTTGAGGAAAGTTAAACATCTTATGGAAAACTTAAAAACATGTTTTTAAGTCATTGTGTTTCCAGAACTAGACTGAACCATAAACTTAGAAACACAAATATGTAAGTTTGTTTTGCGTATTTCTGCTAACATGTATAACATGTTAAGCTAACGTGTAATAAATATACTGTCACAAGAGCCACTTACAGAATATACCTTATATTCCTAAAGGATTATGGAAAGACTTGTTTTATATAGTACGCTAATTATGCTACAATAAAAGGTCTTCTAGATTATTCTGTCATAAAGAACATTTATTTTCCATTTCTCTATGTGGCACTTTGGAAAAAAAATGCTGCCCACCTGTTAAGACACAAAGAACTGGCTTTAAGAGGCTTTTATTCTGAAAGTCAAACATGTCCATTACCAGCACAACCATGACTGTCAGAATAAAAGCCTAAACATCAGCAGAAACAACACAACTGTCAGAATAAAAGCTTCCTCTTAAATCAGACAACCAAGTAAAAAAAAAAAATTATTCATCAAAATAAATATTTTGTTTTCAAATGTAATGCTTTATTTATGAAATACTTATTTATTAAATTTCCTCTCAGACTTGTATTTTTTGTTTGATTGGCACAGATCTGATTCTTTAGTCCAAAAACAACGAAACAAAAAGACTAATTTTGTCTGACGACACTAAAACCTTTAAAAAAACTTCATCTTCACACACACCTGCTGCTCTGCTGAGGCACTCGAGAGATTTCTCATAACTACAGAGCAGCAACGAATAAAATCTATAAAAGTTGGCACTGAAACACCTTTTAATCCCATTTAGCAAACAAACTGAGCATAAACTGGGATAAACGACCAAAATCTAAAAGTTCAACCAGATTAAGCTGAACTCTCCCTGAAGCTTCTTTAGGAGACATTTGAATTAAAAACTCCTTCAGGAGAGGCAGGAGTCAAGATGTTGATTTATCTGTGACTCCTGGACTTTAGTTTGACACGCGGGGCAGCTGACCATCACTGCAGAGGAGGAGGAGGAGGAGGAGGAGGCAGCGTGCGGTCCTGATGAAGAGGAGGTGGCTGCTCCTCTCTCCCTCGACGTGGCCGAACTGCTCCCCAACGTTTTCTCGAAGAAATCAAAGATGCTGGCCGAGCTGCTGCGATCGTCCCACAGCCTCTTCCTCAGCGTCTGCCCTCCACCTGCAGCCCCAGGTGTGCAGCCGGCGCCAGAACCACTCAAATATTTGGACCCGGTTGATCTGGAGGTGCTGCCTCCAGAGGCGGCTGTAGGTGAGAACTTCGTCTTAGCTCCGATGGATGAAGATGTTTCTTCCTGTTTGGTGAAAACCGAAGAAGTCTTCAGCAGTGGCAGCGCGTCTCTTTTAGTTTCCGTGCTCGAGTTCGAGAACCGAGGCGTGGACTTCTTGAGGTCCGCGTTCTCGAAAAGATCCTGAATGGACCTCTGTTTGAGTTTATCTGCCCCTTGGCTTCCAGAACTGCTCGGAGGTTTAGGAATTTTAACAGGAGAGCCCCCGACGTTTACAAAAACTCTCGTGTTGCCAACAGACTTCTTCACAGGGGGCTTTGCGCCTGCGGAGGTGGACGCTCCACCGGGCTTGGTTTGGTCCGACGAGCCAGAACAAACGGGAGAGTGGAGATTTCTGAATGGAGGTACGGAGGCAGAAGGTTTTTTAACAGGTGAAGGTGTCACAACAGGAACTGGTGCTGAGAGAGAGGAGGACGAAGACGAGGAGGTCTGAGACTTCCCTCCCAGGAGGAATCCCTTCCCACTGAAAGGGACGATGTTCCGGATATCCTGGACCCCAGAACCTGAACAGAAACACAAAATAATTTACTTCAGAACAGACAATAATCTTTACCTATGATTATTTAGTAAAACTGAAAAGGTAAAAAGTGTTACCTTTACTTGTATTAGAAGACTTCCCACTTCCTACGCTCTTCTTCTCGGAGGGTTTTCCATCCTTCTTAACGTCCTTCTTGTTTTTTTTGCCGTATCCTTCAGGCTCCTTGATCTTTGTGAACGTCCCGCCACACGTCCTCCGATGATCGTCCCACCAGGGGTCCAGAGAGGACGGAGCCCGGTTCATGGCCCTCTTCACATAGCCAAAGAAAGGCTGGCGGCTCTGGCAGGGCCCGCTGCAGCGCCACCAGTGCTGCCGGTAGACGTCCACCTCGTCTTTGAAGCTGTGGTAGATCTGAAGAAGGAAGAAAAAAAAAAAGACGTTCCAGATGAATTCTGTGAAGTGTTCAACTGGCAAGACTCAAACTAAAAGAAACACTGACAGTAATTTTAGTCCCGCTGGTCTTGTTGATTCTGTTCATGTGTTTGCAGAACTCGGGACCGTGTCCGTCTCGGTCTCGGTTGTTTTGGGTCACAAACAGGAGAGCGTGAATCATTTCATGAAGGAGCGTCTGTGGAAACAGGTGGAAAAAAACAACAACAATTAGGAACAAACATTTTTGCTCTCTTCTAGCGTTTTGATCTCTAATTTATTGTACAAGAAATTGAAACAAAAAAAACTTTAAGAATGTAACTAACAGCTAGAAAAAAGCAGACGTCTATAACAAGATGACTAAAAGACTGATTGACAGCAGGTACAGGCGGTTCAAATGAGTTTTCTCCACAGGGCAGTTATCAGGAGAGACTCGGAGTAGAGTCGCTGCTCCTCCACATCGAGAGGAGCTAGTTGAGGGGGTTCAGGCATCTGGTAAGGATGCTCCCTGAACGCCTCCCTAGGGAGGTTTCCTGTGCATATTCAACTGGGAGGAGACTCTGAGAAGACCAGGACAGATGGTGAGACTGTCTGGGAACATCTTGGGAGTCCTCCAAGAAGCGCTGCTCAAGCTGCTGCCCTCACGAGCCAACTCCGGAACTTTGTTTATTTATTTTTGTCGTTTACACTTTATATATCCAGGTAGTCTCATTGAGACACAAGAACTCATTTTCAAGAGAGACCTGTTTAGGGAGCAGATGGTGGGGGTTAAGGGCCTTGTTCAGGGACCCAGAGTGGGGCGAATGAGGGTGGAGGGAGGTGTGGGTGTTCCACCTTTTCCACCCACATTTTGATGTTGACGGTACCGGGAGTTGAACCTATGACTTTCTGATCACAGGCCCATCTTCAAACCTCTGGGCCACCACTCCTCCATCCAACAAGCAACAAGCAGCAGATGCCGGATGGATGGAAAAATCAACGCCAACGTAACTTGAACCTTCTCACCTCCACCAGGTCTTTCCTGGGTCTCAACTTCAGCAGAGGCTCACTGAGCCGGATCGAACAAAGTCCACCTCGGCCTTCATAAGAACACACGCCAGCGCATCTACAGGAAGAAAAACAAAAGAAATAAGCAGGAGAATGTACTTATTTATCCTATATATCCTTTGTAAATATTGTCTTATATTCGCCACACTGACTGAAACCCATTTTACAACGTGTCGTTATAAATATGTGCGGTGACACAGTGTTTTAATGTACATAATTAAATAATTGTATAGTTTGTGGAGCCACACGTGTCAAAACTCACAGTGTCATCCTGGGGCTCCACTTCACTTCCACTCCGCTCAGTTTCCCCCAGAAGAACGTGTCGTTGAACTCCAGGAACATGGCCCTCACATCTGGGTTTGGGTCCAGCATCTCCCAGGACTCGTCCACGATGCTCAGCGGCCGCTCAGGCTGAGAACTCGGCTTCCAGCCGGGAACAGCATCGTCTCCTCTTCCTGCCGCCTCCACCTTCCGTTTCTTACTGCTCTGCCCAAAGTCATCGCCGTCGGAGTCGTTCGACGACAGGAATGAAGTCTCAAATTCATTATCGAACTGATCCTGTAGCTGAATGGCGAGCAGGAAATCAGCATCCATGACAACAACACAGATGTGCTAACTAGCTAGCTAAGCTATAACTTTAAAGTAGACCAAAAGTTCCGGAACAAACAGCAGCTGTGCCAGAAACAAAACCCCAATCCTTAAGAATAATACTCCCAAATACTGGGATTATTGTCATAGTTTCACAAACATGCTATCTTATTAGGCTGGACGTTTTGCTAACACCAGATCTGTCCAAAACTAGCGCCCACGGTTTGTTGACAACAGTATAAAAATACTTCCGGTATACTTTTCTAAATAAAAGTCGGTTTCAAGCGTAGAAGATTCTGACGTTTTTCTCAATTTTTTATTTAATTTTAATTAAAAGACGACTAATTTTTTTTCTTACATAATGTGCCAAAATAAATATGAAATGTTGGAGTTTTTTCTTTGCTACTACGCTAAACTTTCGAAGAAAACTCAGCGGACACAAAAGACTTCTGGGATTTGTAGTCTTCGCTATTGAGCACCGCCTAGTTTAATAGTTGAAGAAAGCCAGTAATATTTTATTTATTGTAAGACATACAAAAATTATTTTCTAGATTTATGTGACTTATTAAATGTAAATGACTAACAGTATTTGTACGGACTTTTTTCTTGGCCATCTTTTTTTTTTTTTCCGGTCTCGTGACATACAGGAAGTACAAGTTACAGCTTCCTGTGCGTTTGTAGAAGCGGAAATGAAGGAGTTCTTTCGCTGCTCATAGGTTTCTTTATTATATCAACAGTTTATCTAAATAAATAAATATACTAAAGATGTCGGAAACCGGGAACCGACTCCGGAAACTGCTCGAATCTCCGAATTTCGAGCCTCAGTCTTACGTCAAGCAGCTGTCACAGCAGTCCGATGGCGACAGAGATTTGCAAGAACATCGTCAGAAGATCCAAAATCTGGCTGACGAGACGGCCCAGAACCTGAAGAAGAACGTGTACAAGAACTACAGGCAGTTCATCGAAACGGCAAAGGAGATCTCCTACCTGGAGAGTGAGATGTACCAGCTGAGCCACATCCTGACCGAGCAGAAGAGCATCATGGAGAGCATCACCCAGGCCTTACTGTCCACGGACAAGGATGAGACCTCCAAGGAGATGCAGGCAGCTTTCCCCAAAGAGACAGAAGAGCTGAAGCAGAGGACTCTCACCTCACTGCTGGAGAAGGTTGAAGGAGCTGAAAACATCATGGACACCCCAGGGAGACACCTGGTCTACAATGGAGACCTTGTGGAGTTTGATGTGGACAACATGGCCCACATCCAGAAGGTGCATGCTTTCCTGATGAATGACTGCCTGTTGATTGCCACCTGGCTGCCCAGCCGCAAAGACAAGGTGAAGTATAAATACCACGCCCTGTATGATCTGGAGAGCTTTGCAGTGGTGAACGTAAAGGACAACCCACCCATGAAGGACATGTTCAAGATCCTCATGTTCCCCGACAGCCGCATCTTCCAGGCAGAGAACAGCAAGGTCAAGAAGGAGTGGCTGGAGATCCTGGATGAAACTAAGAAAAATAAAGCCTCCAAGGACAGACACAAGAAAGAGGAGGAGGCTCCCACTTCGCCTGTCCGAGCTGAGGTGTCCACAAACCCCTTTGACATGGAAGATGAGCCATCAGAGGCTGAAGAGAGCACGGCCCTCAGCCTGGAGTGGATCCAGGAGCTGCCAGAAGATCTGGATGTGTGCATCGCCCAGAGAGACTTTGAGGGTGCGGTGGACCTGCTGGACAAGCTCGGCGAGTACCTGAAAGACCAGCCGGTGACCCAGAAGGTGAAGGAGCTCCGGGCGAAGGTGGACGAACGTGTGCGACAGCTGACGGAGGTCCTGGTGTTTGAGCTGTCTCCGGATCGGTCGCTTCGTGGGGGACCTAAAGCGACCCGGCGGGCCGTGTCCCAACTCATCAGACTAGGTTTCTTTAATTTCTAACAACAATAATGATGATAATCCACAATCTCACCGCTCTTCCTCTGGTTGTTATTAACACCTTGGATATGCTCACCTCACTGTTTTTACAGTTAAAGTAAACTTTCACAATAAGAGCACAGCAGATTAAGTTAATATTCCACAAGAGACTGTCACTTGGTGATACAAGCACCAAAATGGCGTGACTAGTCCCTAGAACAGGGGTCTGCAACATTGACGATCCAAAGAGCCATTTCTGTCTCTTCGTTCACTAAATTAAAATGTCTGGAGCCACAACACCTGCTCCAACTGTGATTATCAACTGGTGGACCACTTTAAGTTCATTGGAAGAGGCTTTTCAGGCCAGGAGCGACATAATACAACTAAAAACATCTGATTTTTAACACTTACTGATATTTTTACATTTTAACACAAAAGAAAAGACCAGCTTATTGTACAGAAGGATTCATTTTTTTTTATAGTTTTTAACAATTTTTAAAAATAATTTAAACAATTTTTTTAATTGTGGAAAAATCCAAGTATCCTACTTTAAAGAAATAAAGTTAAAGTGGGTATGTTTTACTCCTTGTGTTAGTAACAGTATTCACAAATTTGTAAAAGAAATGACGTGTAAGTGATAAAACTAGCAGTGGTTTGTTGGTTTGGGTCAAAGTTTGAAAGAGCCGCTGCAGAGGAACCAAAGGGCCAAATGTGGCACCGGAGCCACAGGTTGCAGACCCCTGACCTAGGACCTACTTTTACCTGAAATGAAGTTATCTACCTGAAAATCAATTGGCCATTTTTTTTAAAGATAGCCACAGTTTCATGCGTGAAAAACCACCTTTTTCCTGTAAATTTTAAATGAATTTGCATTCGTGCTAAACTGGATGTCGTGGCAAATATTACTGCTTTAGTCTCGTGTGCCTACAGTTTTGTGCAAATGTGACGAGTAGAGGTGCACAGTATTATCATCGTTACACAATCAAACTGACCATCGGTCAAAACTCATGAAATATGTCAAGTGTTAAAACTTTTTTCATATCAACACCTCACAAGAGAGTTAAATCTCTCGTTTATGGCTTTTATAGTCTTTTACATCTGCAGTTTTAAAAATAATATTGACTCCAGAATTCAATTTAGCATGCCTAAAAAAATTATATTTTGATGACAAGATTGGCAAATCAGAATGATTCAGTCTCAGTTCAGGTCATGAAGATTTTCGAAAGCGGCCATCTTGAATAATGGCAGCCATTGTCCACGTGGATAGTGTTTTTTTTTTTAATATAGGTCCAGGAGATTATTATTTATAGGAGTATTTCATGACCCACTGGACAATTATCTAATGAATCTCTCAGAAAGCAATCGTAGGCCTTTGGTTATTTTTAACAACGTTGTTAAAAACAGAAGCCGCACTTTAAAAAACCATCTCCAGCGTTGGTCGTAAAATCCCAGTCTGTTGTCTCCTCGCTCAGTGTTTTTCTGTGGGTTCTGCATGATCCAGGTCAGTCCACCAAAGCATGTGAGCTGTTCCTGAAGAACCGCGCTGCAGCCGTTCAGACGGCCATACGGCAGCTTCGCATCGAAGGAGCCACGCTGCTCTACATCCACAAGCTCTGCAACATTTTTTTCACCAGCTTGTTGGAGACCGCCAAGGAGTTCGAGATGGACTTCGCGGGGAACACGGGCTGCTACTCTGCCTTCGTGGTGTGGTCCAGGTCGGCCATGACGATGTTTGTAGACGCCTTCAGCAAACAGGTCAGCAAAGACAGGGACACGGGTTTAATGTTTCCTGGAAATATCTCTGAACAGCGAGTTGGTGCTTGTGTGACTTCAGTCAGTTTCCTCAAACTGCACGTTTTTCAGGTGTTTGACAGTAAGGAGAGCCTGTCGACAGCAGCAGAGTGCGTTAAAGTGGCTAAAGAGCACTGCCAGCAGCTGACGGAGATCGGTTTGGATTTGACCTTCACTCTGCAGTCGCTGCTGGTCAAAGACATCAAGGCGGCTCTGCAGAGCTACAAGGACATCATCATCGAGGCCACGAAACACCGCAACTCCGAGGAGATGTGGAGGAGGATGAACCTCATGACCCCCGAGGCTTTAACTAAACTCAAGGTAGAGCTCACTTATTTGTTGTTGTTTATTTCTTGCTTATTTGTTTATCTAACTGTGTCAGGCTTGGTTTCTTGTTAATAGGAATTTGTGTGGAGGTGTGTATCTAAATCATCATTTGTTTATTTATTTGAGGGGCGGGGGGGACGAAGCAGGCAATGGCCACCTCTAAGCAATTGTAAATCCTCTTGTCTTCAGCGTTAGCTTTGTGTTTATTATTTAGTTTTTCCCTCATGATCCTCACAAATTCATAAATCTAAAAAGAAACACAGTTGTAGCAGTTAGAAATAAAAACATATAAATTTACACTTTATGTACAACTACAGAAATGTGAATGTGTATTGCAAAATAACTTGCTGAAATTAGCTAAAACATGCTAAAATGTAGCTGAAAACCAAGCGTAAATCAGCAGAAAAAACACAAAAGTTGAAACGAGTGCAAAAAATGTGGATTTAGCTGGAAAAAAGAAGCTAATATTAGCATAAAAACAGCTAAACGGTAGCTGAAATAAAAAAGCTGAAACTTGCAGAAATAAGCTGAAAAGGGCAGAATAAGCTGAAATTAGCAGAAAGAAGTTAGAAGAAGCACAACAATAATATCGTTAGAAAGAACCTGAAAGGAGCACAAAACAACTGAAAAAAGCAGCTGAAAGTAGCTGAAAAAAAAAAGTTTAAATTTGCACAAGGAAGCTGAAAGAAGCTGAACCAGACCAAAATGTGAAAGGAGCAGTTGTAAACAGATCTAAAGATGTGAAGGATGTAAAATGAGCTCAATTCATTTTCTATGAGGAAAAAGTGGCAGAAAAGGCTAAATATTTCTAAAAGCTAAAGTTGCACCAATACCGAAAGTCATCGCAGGATTGTCCTGAAAGAGCTGAAAGTTTTGACTTATGATTTGTTGAAATAGCAAAATAATTGTGGAACGAGAAAGACGCTCATAATATACGTAAGAAAAATGGATCACGATAGAGTGAATGCTTCATAAACATTCTATTAAAAATAAAACCTAAATCGAGTCCCCCTGAAGGACAACTGGTCTAAAAACATCGTCCTCAACATTTGCATGCAGGGTCTCTGGACATTGTTTGCAGAATATTGTTTTATAAATCTAAATGTAGGAGAGGGACACGCTTCAGTCAGTGCAGTTGTGTGTTATTAACGTGACCTGTTTGTTTTTATCAACACTTTAACTGGAAGCTGCCCGCCACCTTTCATATCAGAGTTCAAACTAAGATCCTCCCCAGAGAAGTCACAAACTTGTGGCTGTTGTGGTCAAACCTCTGAGAATAATCTTATCATGCAATGCTCTGCTGACCCGTTAGCATTTAGAGTACTGTATGTGTTGTGAATGACTGTCAGCTACTACCACACCAGATTTTAGCCACATATATAAAATTAGCTGAGGTAAGGTCATTTTTATGTTGGCTAAGATCAGCTAGCTGTGGCAGCCATCTTTAAGTGGGTTGACTCCAAATGTTAACCAGCTGTAAATTAATGTCCATTGATTACTTTCTGGGAGTTTATTTGAAATCCATCCAGTGGGTCATGATATTTTGCTAACAGAGTTAATGGTTTTATACAGATCTTGTGATCAAATCAGTTCTCAAAGAATAAGTTAGAATGTGTTCACTCTCAGCTCATACCACATGAAATTCTAGCTCAGTTGACTAAGTTGTAGCTATTTTTGTGTTGACTAAGATCACTTTGCCGTGGCAGCCATTTTGGATCAGGTTGATTCCAAAAGTTAACCAGCTGTAGAGACAGCTCCAATGATTGCTTTCTGAAAACATCATTACAATTTGTGTTGTGGTTCGTGAGACATTTTGCTAACAGACCGACAAAGAACATACGCACACAGTCACGGACAAAAACATTATTGCCCTTTTTTGCTTTTGAAGGTGGGTGATAGAAATCCTTCCTGAAGCAAGTTGTCTCAGATCAGTTTAGTTTTATTTGTCGACACGTGGAAGGGCTTCCTGCCGGCCTCTTTACTTATTGAAGAAAACACTAAACTCCTCATTCTTCCCTAATATCTTTAATAGCAGTTACTAGTATAGTAGTATATCTTTAGTTTATCTGCTTCATTGCTTTTTTCCCACGGGGTTCTGCAAGGCTCGATTCTTTGACCCCTTCTGTTTTCATTGTATCTGCTCCCATTGGGGTCTACCCTGAGGAAACACTAAACTCCTCATTCCTCCCTAATAACTTTAATAGCAGTTACTAGTATAGTAGTATATCTTTAGTTTATTTGCTTCAGTGCTTTTTTCCCACGGGGTTCCACAAGGCTCAATTCTTGGACCCCTTCTGTTTTCATTGTATCTGTTCCCCTTGGTGTCTACCCTGAGGAAACACTAAACTCCTCATTCCTCCCTAATATATTTAATGAAATCTGATTTATTTAATGGTGGGAACCAGTGGTTAATAAATTCAGTGTTTGTCCTGCAGGATGAGATGCGCGGCTGTGGCATCAGCTTCCAGCAGTACACAGGGGACGACTGCTGGGTGAACCTGAGCTACACCATCGTGGCCTTCACCAAGCAGATGATGAGCTTCCTGGAGGAAGGCCTCAAGCTCTACTTCCCTGAGCTGCACATGGTGCTGCTGGAGAGCCTGCGGGAGATCATCCTGGTAGCCGTGCAGCACGTGGACTACAGCCTCCGCTGCGAGCAGGACCCAGAGAAGAAGGCCTTCGTCCTGCAGAACGCCTCCTTCCTCCACGACACCGTGCTGCCGGTGGTGGAGCGGCGCTTTGAGGAGAGCGCGGGCAAGCCGGCCAAACAGCTGCGAGACCTTAGGAAGAGCACGCGGTCGGTACGGATCAACCCGGAGAGCACCACATCCTTGGTCTGAGACCGACGGGAACTTCTGTGGCTCTTTAACAAACTGTGAGACTGAAACAAAGGATGTGAAGAAACACGTTTCACATTCCCTCCCTGTGATTTCAGGTCCCCAGTCAGAGCTGACCACAACACTAACTACCGGTTGTTTTGATGCTACAGGACAGGAAATGAATGACTCATGGCGAACAGGCAGAATAACAGCAGAGTAACATGTTTTCATAGAGATTTGTACATTTTCCATCAAGAAAACGAACTAATAGTGGCTTCTAAAGATCATTTTATTTTAGTTTCAAGCATCCTTCCTGCTGCAGACACTTTTGTCCTCATCAGTTCTTTATTATTTGTCCCATACATACAAAGGAATTGCTCACAAAACACTTCAAATTAAACTAAAATATATAATATTAATATCTGACAACAGCAGATTCCAGGTTTTATTTTCACAGTTTCCCTCACCACTAAAGTTGATGTTTCTGCTGTTTGAAAGATGATTTGATGTCTGAGCATTTTGATTTTTGGGAAACTACCGCTATCACGAGCACAAATTAATCAAAACTGATTAAACAAATGTTCTGCATCGGTCAAATTATGTGCAACATAAAATGTAATAAAAGTCCAACATGTTCAGCCTGTTTATTATTCCTGGGAACACTGAAAACTACAAGGTCTTTAGTTTTTATTCAACTTTATTATTGGTTTCAAGTTAATGAATGGTGGAACAAAGCTAAAGGTTTAAACTTTTTAGTTTTTATTAAGTTTTTTTAGAGGCAGAAAGATATAAAACATATCTCAGGAAGTTTTAATGTCTGAATTGGTTCACGAATAACAGATTTGTATGGCGTTTACCTTATAAAACAAATATTTGAATAGATATTGTTTATTCACTCGATTGTTCTCATTTTCCTCAGAAATTATGAATGGCTGAGATTGATTTGTTCTTTTACAGTTTGAGGCTTTTCCATTATCTTTACCCGCTTATTCCTTTCTGGGTCGTGGGGGGGTCTCTGGTGCCCATGTCCAGCAGTAACTGTGTGAGAGACGGGGACACCCTGGACGAGTCTCCAGTCCATCACAGAGACACATGGAGACAAATGAGACAACCATTCACTCTCTCACTCACCTAGAGACAATTTAGAGTCACCATTCAGCCCAAGATGCAGGTTTCTGGTCTGGGGGAGGAAACTCGTGCACAGAGAGAACATGCAGACTCCACCTTTTTCACACCACTAATAAAATATTAAATATTTGTCTATTTTTGACCGTCCTTCAGGCATGAGCCCAAAATACAATACTTTACTTCCTAGAGGCAGTTGACTTCCAATAATATCTTGTATTGCCTTGTGTAGCTCCTTCCAATAAGTTTTAATTACTTGACAGTCCCAAAAATTATGGTAATGATGTGCACTTTTATTTCCACAGTTTCTCCAGCCAGCTGGACCTTTATAGTGGGATTTTTGTCAAGGTTTAATAAAGTATCTTATCAAACTGTTCCACCCAAACTCCCTCCACCTCAATGAGCTGCTACATTTCCACTGATACTCTCAGGTTGTTCTCCATTCTTCTTGCTGCCCGGCTTTTCTATACAACCTTTATAATTTTATTGGCAGCAGAATTTAAATCACATAATTTACAGGAACTTTAAAGATTTTCAGAATTTTCATTATAGTTTGTTTATGACTGGAATGAACAAAAGGGTGAAAGTAAATCACCCTGGAACAACCCAACGTTTACAGGAGGGCCTCATCGTGATGAATGACATAATTACTGCAGATTATTTAATAATCCTTGAGACTTTACAACAAAGAATTATTGTGATTGTTTGATACGCTTAGCTCATTATGTACGTTTATTTGTTCAAACAAAATAAAAAATAAATTAATTCATCCAGCAATAATAAAATAATTGCATTTTATTTCTTTATTTAATAAATTGTCGCCCCCTTGTGGCCATTTACAGCAGAAACACAACTTCGCAGTTCATGTGTATTATTTATTCTTTGAGGTTAGATTGTTAAATAATATCTTATTAGGAACAATTGTAAACTGTTTTATTAATTATAAATTTTAAGTCAGCTGAAGTTTATTAGTGGAGGAAATGAATAATAAAATGCAGCCACTTCTTGCTCATTACATGAAGATGTTTTACACAGGCGGCACTTTTGATGCAAAATAAAAACATATAGAGAACTGGGCTCGTTCTTTTATTTCAGTCTTAAAATGAGTTTAAAATAAAACGAGTGCAGCTATATGATTCTGCTCATAGTTTCTTCAGCTTTTTAAAAGACACAATTATTGCTAAAGAGACAATTTAACTAACTTCAGCTTTCACAAGGCGCTGTCTTACAGTATATTGCAGCTTCATATTTATATTTTAATAAGCTCATGTCTTTATAGTGGACAAAATGCAGCAGTGGTCTGCAACCTTTGCAATCAAAAGAGGAATTTCCTCTCTTTTCCAGAGCTGCAAAATCTACTTAAAGCTTTAAAATAAAGATAGTACAACTCATTAAGTGTTTATAAATCAAACTATTAGCTGTTTTACATTTTACAGTTAAATATCTGTAATAAACAGTTGGCAGTTTTACGTTAGGACAAAGAAAAATATTAAACTTTTATTGATAAAATTTAAACTATATATATATATATATATATATATATAAACTACTAGAAAAATATAATTTCCAGTATTTTTCTCAGATGAAGAAAATCCTGGAATAAAAGATTTTAGTCTCAATCCTGTGTAGAGGGATATGGGGCTGGATATATATTGTAAATGATCAGTTATGAGTTAAGCTCATAAGATGTCTTTTTATTATGCAAATAACCTCGTTGTGTGTGGGCACCACCTCTTTTAGAGGAAAAATCTGTCTCTAACTCCAAATTAAATGTAAACTGAAACGTGAATTATTTTCTTGTGTTTAAAGGGCATCAAATCAGTTAATACACACAGATATGCCAAAATAATCACAAATTTAGTTGATTTTATGTATTTTATTACAAAAATAATAATCTGTGATATATGGGATGAAAATTATGCATAACAAACAAATGAACAACAAATAGCTTTGTATCAAAGGTCTACTTGATTATTCAAATCAGTGAAACTTAAAAAGGCAGATTTTGGACTGGTTCTGTTTGTGGAGTAGTTAAAATTGTGTCTAAAGTGAGCTGTAGTTTGTCTGATAAGATTATTGTGATGCGTGATCACCAGAAAGTGCATTGAAGAGTCTCTCTCACCAGAACGAGACGTCAGAATGTTCCACAGCTGCTTAAAATGATACCAGCAAGGCCTGAGATGCTCCGGTGACTGAGAGGCTGATTTTTCCTCAAAAGTCACCTACCATCGTTGGAGGGACGAAGGTCCAGCCACTGGCTCTGCAGTCAGCTGGGATTTATCACTTTGTGGTGTGACAGTTCTGGTTCGGTCAGGTTCTGCTTCGTTTCTTCTGTATCTTTTGTCCCGTCTCTGTGCAGAAAGGATGCTCCTCTTCCATGCAGAAGCTAAGTTTTTCTCTCGCAGTTCCGAGCTCAAGTGAAGTCTTCATGAGACGAAGCCTCAGTCAGCGACTGAAGAAGAAGTGAAACTTAACTGTATGTGTGTTTCAGATTGACTTTAGTCCACCTCTCGGAAGAGGGATGGTCCTAACTCCTGTCATGCTTTATAAAATCTAAAGTCCATTTTCTCTGTCTGCCTTTAAAAGTTGCTCTTTCAAAAGAGACAAATAAGACAAATGATTATCTTAAAGAGAGATTACTTAAAACACACATTGTCATAAATAAACATTCAGTTATGACGATTTACAGAAAATTACATTTTGGGGTTAATAGCAGGCAATGTTTCTCCAAAAGGTGTCGCTGTCCATCCCCTGAAAAGTAAATGTCATTAAACAAAGGGTTCTTTCAAATGTGTTATCTTCGTGGGAACCCATCCTGGGAGTAATACTCCTTTTTGATAAAAGTTAAAGTCTCAGCAGATGTTTCAACTTCGGGGTCAGTTGAACCAAAACTCATTAAAACGATCTGTCCGTTTCATGGGAAAGGAGTTCATATTGGCAGTGAAGTTTTGTCCCAAGGGAATAGATGCATCTTATTTTAAACAGTTTCAAACACAAAACACATGAATGATGTCGTTTGAGACGAGGTGAACTCTTTTTCTGTTTAAGCTGAGATGAACTGTTTTCTGAGGTGGTGAACTGTTTCTGGGGTGGTGTTCCCCTACACCTGCTATGTTTTTGGTCAGTAGTTTTTACAGAGGAAGAATAATTAACCATTTTGAGCAATTAATTTCCAATGTACCATTTTTATTTTATTTTTTTTAGTTTTGAGACCAAGATTAAAGAAGTGAATAATGAGCTAACGGAGCAACTAGTTAAAAAAATAATCTCTTTGTATTATTTGCATAATTTTGTCACATGTTTCATTCGCTAATTTGCATAAAACTGGACAGAAAAAACTGTCTTTTACATGTTGTTATGAATGTATTTATTGTTAGTTTGGTACAAAGCCACAAAGACCTGCATGTGGCCCTATAGAGCCACAGGTTCAAGACCCCAAGGCCATTGAAGTGGGAGTGAAACATCTTCCTTACACCATATTTATGTAATGATGTGAACAACTGTTCACCATGCTCATTTCCCAACAAAGCAGATCTGAAAGGCAGCGGATGAGATGCTAACAGGCCTGAGATCAAAGCTGCTCACTGAAGAACCTCAGTCACTGCTGTTGTCTATACAGAGAACACCTGAAAGAAACACCGTCAGGTGTTTTCACATCTCATCCGAGTGTGGAAGCTTCTGCTACCACCCATCTGTTGGTTTTCTGCTGCCTCCACCTCCAGGATCATGTGTCACCCGTGTCAGAGCGACAGGCAGAGCGAATCCAGAGTTTGAGGCGGTCGCAGTGAACCATCAGCACTGATCGTCGTCACGGCCGTTATTATCGTTGACATAATGATGTCAACGAATGGCTCTTTGTTCAGCTGAGATTTCAAGATAAAAACTTTTCCTTTTCCTAAACTTTCAAGGATGAGTTGAATAAGGGATAAAATTATTGTCTTACTTTGTACTTGCAGTCTTCAAGACTTCAGTAGGAAATCTCGATCATTCACTGTTCAGTTCTAAAATTCAAAACAGATCATTTTTGAAAAGTGTCTCACACATCAAACTGTTAGATTAGGTTCCTTTCTCACTAAATAAGTGGGTTTATATTAATATTTAAAATAAAAAGAAATAAGACAATACATTTGTTAGAACACTGAAGCCTTTTTAGTTAATAATCAGTTTATTTGAGCTGAAGAAACTTTCTGTGAACATGTGTACTAGGATCCTGATTTCCCTCAATACAAGTTTGAAATTCCAAATAGACTCAGTGGTTATGACAAAACTTAGAAATTAATATTTCATCACACTGACATTTGGGATGGAATAGCATAAATTGTTTCAAGTCCAAGTATTCATTGATAAAGTTAATGGAATGGACGTCTCCGATTAAATCTGGGAATGACGTCACGACGTAAGACGTCACTGAGTAGTACGCTAGCTAGCTAACGCTAATCATGTTAGCCACCAAAACGGAATATTAAATGAAGTAAAAAACTTGGTAATAGCAAAATGTAACACTTTGCTAATGAACAGGAATTATTATTACATTTTAGTACTTCAGGGAGTTAGAGTTTAAAATGGAAACAAAAAAGTTGTATTTTTTTATTTAATTGCTAAAAAAAAGTTGTAATTTTTGCAATGCTAGTTTTAGCAGCTAATGTCAAATGAAATGAAAATTAATTCGTTCACCAACGGTTGGACTTTGACAAACGATTCATTGGCAAGTTTTACCAACAAAAATACAGGTGATTGTTGTTTTCTTCTTTTAAGAAATTAGCATTGTGATTAGTATGTTTTCTTTAAAAAATGATATTCATAAAGTTAATTTGCCTGTGACAGAATCATGGGATCATGTAGTTAGCAAGGAGTTTAACTTTTTATTTGTTACATATTATTAATTTTTTTAGTTTAGTCTAACAATGTTGCAGTTTGTTTAGTTTAAACTTTTTATGTAAGAGAGGCTAACATCTATTGATATTGGAGCTAATATGACCATAGCTTGAGCTAATTACGATGTTAGCCAAAGAGCTAATGAATATGACGTTAGCTCAGCAATAACTTTTACTAGAATAGAGAAATAACCCATTAAGGCCAATATATGCAAGTATTCAGAGATCCTTATCAGCATTTCATTTAAACCAAATGGGTTGTCATGGCAACTTGCCAAGGCAGCGTTGATGACATGCTTGATATAGTTGCTAGATCTTTTTTTTGATAAACAATTAATTGAGCTATAAAAACAAGACTAAATACTGTAAGTTGTTTAGTTTTTCTATTTTTTTTTAAAAGAATTATAGCTAAAATATGATATGGTTAATATGATATATGTGATGTTAGCTAAAAAGCTAATTACGTCGATGCTAAGGCCCAAGCCTTACTAGAAAACACTGGTCAACTAATTAGTTCTATTTAATGAATATTTAATTAATCTTTATTTATTGTGATTTAAAGCGTTTGCATTTAAACTCGACAGAAAATGTTTAAAAGTAAAAATTAAACAAGAAATCGCGGCCACAATCCTGATACGTAACAGTATAAAACAGTCTGGTAAACAGAATATTTCTGTGCTTGAAATCAATCAATCCCCGCCCCGGTGTGCGCATGCGCAAGATCGGAGTCAGGGAGCTGTCCGCGTCAGTCGGTACTGGACTGCTTTCACCGAAACATCTCCTCCCTCCGGTGCACCGAGACGCATGGGAGCGATGGAGGAAGAGCTGAAATGTCCCGTTTGCGGGTCTTTCTTCAAGGACCCGATCCTGCTGCCGTGTTCTCACAACGTCTGCCTGGCGTGCGCGCGGAACATCACCGTGCAGACGCCGGACGGAGAGACCCCGGCGCAGAGCCGCGCCTCGGGCAGCTCCGACTACGACTACCTGGACATGGACAAGATGAGTCTGTACAGCGAGACGGACAGCGGCTACGGCTCCTACACCCCGTGCCAGCTCAAATCTCCCAACGGGGTGCGGGTGTTCCCTCCGGTCGCGCATCGAAACTGCTCCCTCACCTGTCCGCTGTGCCACCGGAGCGTCTCCTTGGACGAGCGGGGGCTCAGGGGGTTCCCTCGGAACCGGCTGCTGGAGGCCATCGTGGCTCGGTACCAGCAGACCCGCGGCGCCTCCTCCTCCTCCTCCGGGGTGAAGTGTCAGCTGTGCGACCGCAACCCGGTGGCGGCGACGGTGATGTGCGAGCAGTGCGACGTCTACTACTGTCACTCCTGCCAGCAGCGGTGCCACCCGTCCCGCGGTCCGCTGGCCAAGCACCGCCTGGTACCTCCGCCGAACCAAGCGGCAGGAGGAGCAGGGGCGGCTGGCGGTGGAGGAGGTGCTGCCGGCGGAGGGAGCGGCGGGCACCCGCCGCCGGTGACCGCCCGGAAACCGGCGACGTGCGTGGATCACGAGGCGGAAAACTTCAACATGTACTGCTGCAGCTGCAGGGCTCCGGTGTGCGTGAAGTGTCTGGAGGAGGGGAAGCACGCCAAGCACGACGTCAAACCGCTGGGTGTGATGTGGAAGCAACACAAAGTGAGTGGACGCACACGCACACACACACACACACACACACCTCCAAGTGTACACACAGTGTTGTGCTCCTCATGACTTACTTTATTTTATCTTTAACGTTTGAGTCTCAAGTCTTCATCACATCCACTACCAATCATTATACTGTTTTTTTAAATGTACTTCCTGTTGCAACATGATTCTGGATCAGACATCGTTTGCATGCACGTGAAGGCATTTTGATTTACTGACTGCAAAAAAAATCAGTGCAAACAGTGCACGTGCTTTTTGCACACTCATTTTGATCATGAGCCCATTGAGGTTTGGTTTGAGCACAATTCAACACTTTGATCACTGTGACACATTTAAACACTTTAGTAAACATTTGTCCTTGTTGCCATTAAGGGTCCCCTCTGGTATGAGCTTCAATATATTTATGTAATAATTAATGGCATGTTTCTGTTTGTGTTATTGCTCAGCTTTCATGTTTTAGGTTTTATTGCGATCATTTTTTGAAGCTTAATTTCATTTGTTTGGTCTGTTTATGTTTCCCGCACCTGCCCATTATTAGTACCCCCTCAGTGAGTCTTACAGTTAGACAAATACTGCTCCTGTAATTTGTACTGCTGTTAAAGTATCTTCGGTTTCAGATTAATATAATGAAGTTAAGACGGTTTTACACCTGCTTCTGTTGAGGCCTTGAGTTTTGTCAATTAAATGTTGTCCTGTTTGAAGCACAGCGTTGAGTTTACCCTGTGCAGATCACATTATCATCATGATTCATTTGGTTCAACTTATAATAAGATAATTCCTGTGGGCATACAAACTGTATGTGAGGATGAGTCATTGGCAGCTGGCCCACATCTGCACAGGAAGTGGTCACACATGATGTGATTGGTGATTACAGTGTTGGAAGAAGAGGCCAGCACAGATTCATGCCGTGGGCTTTGAGTAAGGATGACTAAATTATTATTATTATTATTATTAGTCCTGGATTCAATAAACTTAAAGAAGAAATTATATTAAAAAGATTTGCTAATTAAATTCAAATATAAGTAGAGCAGACTACAAGTAGTTTTAGTGATTAATTTTTGCTTTAAATTGGCTAAACGTGCATTCACAACCTTTTGGTTTAATTTAACTTGTGTAAAATATAGAATGCGCGTTATAACGTAAAAAATTAGTTGTATTATGACTGAATAAAGCAGCTTTATTCCAATAATTCAGTTGTCTTCAGAGACAAAGACTGAATGAAAACCTGCTGATAAGGCGGTTTTTTTTCCTACCATTGTGTCCCTCCTCCACTCTGCCTGCCAAAACAAAGAAAAAAATAAATCACCCGCCCATTTCATTAGTGGATGATTAAAGTGATTTATGATGTAATCCATTTTTAAACTACATTTTGATTAATTTTAATGATGAATCTGCTCCAGGGTTGGGGTCAGATGCAGTTCATTTTCTTCAGGCTACAGCTGACTTGGCTACATTTTAGTTTTAACATTTGTTTGTGTCTTAAGTCGAGTATTGAGAAAAGGCCTAACATTTAACTAACGTACCACACAGATGTGTTGACATCTTCAGACCTGGACCTTCAATGAACACAAAGAAGTGACACTCTGAATACGTTTCATCTAGTGTTTTTTAGTTTGAAAAACATGCTCTGTTCATTTTATGTCAAACTTGTTTTATTTTTGTCCCAAAAGGCAAACTTGCATGTACCAGCAGGTGATGTTACATTATTAATGAATTACAATGTCCTTGTTTTTAGTCAAAGTCCCTTATTTAAGATATAAAGCAAAATCACCAACTAAAGTTTTTAACTTCTTGTTAGATGGTAATATTTGTAAATCATCACGCTGCAAAGAACACATTTAATAAAGATTAGAAAAGTTTGCATCTCTATTTTATTTAAGTTTTTAGATTTAACTATCAAAATACATCAACATGATCAGTGCTTTAGGGTTGTATGTATGTATGTATGTATGTATGTATGTATGTATATATATATATATATACATACATACATACATACATACATACATACATACATACATACATACATATAAACAGGAAGTGAAGTGGCCTGCCTAATGTTTGGGGGGCAGGGGGAGGCAGACTGTTCCAAAGTTTAGGGCCCCCGACTGAAAAAGCCAGATCACCTCTGAGCTTCAACATTGTATTTGAAACAGCCAAAAGCAGATCAGATGATCTCAGGGCCCGAGAAGGAACATATGGTTCAAGTAGCTCAGAGAGATATGAGGATGCAAGAGCAGATAAATCTGACAATCATCAGCATAGAAGTGAAAAGAAAGACCATGCTCCCTCAGGATAGACCCCAAAGGGAGCAGACAGAGCAAAAACAGAAGGGGTCCAAGAATCAAGCCCTGTGGGACCCCTCAGGAAAGAGGCACTGAAGCAGGTACATTATTACCAACCTTAACACAAAATCTCCTGTCACGCAGATAGGAACGGAACCATTCTAATGTGCACCAGTAATCCCAACCCAGTATTCTAACCGCAATATAAGGATACTGTGGTCATCAGTGCCAAAAGCAGGTAAGGTCAAGGAGTACAACTATCACAAACTGATGAGAATCATTTGCTAGAAATTATCTAAAGATCTTAAAACTACTTAAATGTTAAAAATCTCAAAGCAGTTCATGCAAACATCGTCTTACAAACTTTTACGTCGCAGTCAGTTTCATGTTACGTGGTTTTTCACAAGCGTAATGGCACTTCCTGCAGGGATATCCTGATATTTCTAGTGGGAAACTAAAGTGGCTAAACATATCTTTAATGTACATCACAATAAAAGTTTTGAGATTGGAGCTGTTATAAGATTATTGCCACTTCCTGTCAGATTAGCTGTTAGCTTGTTGTTATGGTAAAAGTTCAAGTCCGTTTTTCCAATCTGAGTTCGTTCAAAGAGAACTACCTTTCTGTGAATAAATCAAAATGAACCATGCACAAATACATGTAGTCACTTCTGATTTATGTGCCCTTGGCCAAGCCAAGGGTACCAGCCCTTCAGTGTTACACCATTAAAATCTTTTAAGTGCATAATTGCTGAGTTAATTTTGGAAATGATTATGTGACAAAGGCCTCAGGTGTGTAAAGTAAAAGGGTTTTAGGGAAATTAAAACAGCCAAAAAAATCCATTAAAGTGCTGATCAAACCTCTAATTTAACAAAGCGTTTCTTCCTCCTTGTGTTAAATGTGTAAGTTAACAGTTTCTGCTTCCTGCTAAGTGGGTCAATGGAACTAATCTCTCTTGTTTTTCTAAGAGATTGGAAGCATCCGGTTATTTAATCCATCATTTATTTCTCAGCCTCTTCCTCCTCTTCTTTTTTCTTGATTTGGCTCATCCCTCCAACTTCTTTACACGTCTGTCTCCTCTGCTCCCCTCCCCCCACCCTTCATTCACCCTTCTTCTCCTTCCTCCCTCCGTCCCATAAACGTGCCGTGAAAAGCCCGTCAGAACATTCAAGCGAGAGGGCGTTGATGAGTAATAAGCAGAACCAGAGACGTTCACCTCTTAGTTAATGTGCTGTCCTTCTTGTTACAGGAGATCGAGTACTCCCGTGTTGCGGAGCTGAAATGCTGTTGAGGACTTGAAGCGTTTCTCTCTCTGTTGTATTTTTGATGGATTGGTTTGCTTCTCTCTCCTGTTTCATCGGGCTTTATCTTGCTTGATCTCCTCTTCCTATTGCTCTTTTTCTGCTGTCTTCAAAGGCAGCGAACTTCACTTCCTGTGATGAAGAAAGATTATTTTTTATCAAGCATGACTGGATGACGGATATTTAGTTTAAGCATTTCTGACCAGATCATAAATCTTCTGTAAGCAAATTGATGGCTTAATTAGGCCCGAGCAGCAAAGCGCTGCGAAGGCCTATTGTAATTGTGTCGTTTATTATTATTATTATTATTATTATTATTATTATTTTTCTTGGGACTTTTGGGACGCATTTTTGGAGGCCTTAGCATATCCCAAAACTCACCAAACTTCACCAAAACTTGTCCCCCAAGTAAAATTTTTGAACTGTAATGGAACCAAAAGTGGGCGTGGCCAAACTGCTCCACAGCGCCCCCTAACGTGAGATATGACAACTGGTAAGTCCTAGAGAGCTGAAATTTGGTACACATGTACAACCCACTGAATCATGAAAAAAAGTCTCTTGGAGGTATGCCCTAAACCCAACAGGAAGTCGGCCATCTTGGGTCAAAGGGTCAAATTTCACGTTTCATACATGACGAATTTGAACGAACTCCTCCTAGAGATTTTGACTGATTGCCTTGAAACTTGGTGGATATGCCCTTAAGACATTGGGGAGTAAAAGTTATCAAAGGATTGCATTTTCGTTTTGTTAAAGGGGCGTGGCCAGTTGAGCTTCACGCCATAAATTTCCAAACGTTATAACTTTCAACTTGAAAAACAGAATTGCACCAAATTTGGCACGAGTCATGCCTGTCCCATGCCCGACGATACCCTGAGGTCAAAATTTGACGTCATCAAAGCCCCGCCCCCTCAGAACAGGAAGTGACTTTTTTTGCTTGGAATGCTCCCTCTCTGACACTCTTGACCCAATCAGGATGATCCTGTGTTAGAAGGCAGAT